ACCACATAGTAGCATGGACCTGTTCTGGTACCTAAATGGAGGTGTGTTTGTCTTTGTAGCAATGTTCCAATCAGCGCGTTTCCTCACGTGGAATCCGTGCGGCATTTTCCGGCTCATTCGGCATTCCGGCAAGTTGAAAACTGACGTCGAGATTGCGTTGAAAACGCCGAAGATAGATTGTGAGGGCTCCCATACCTGGAGGTCAGCTGCCGTTTAGAGTTTCGAGGATCGATATTTCCTGTCAAGCTTCCGCGCTACGACAGCTCGTTTTTGGCGTTCCTAGTGACCGCAAACTAGCCGCCCTAGAAGAGGAGTAGCTGGCAGTAAGTATCATTGACGGACTTGTACAGTACTAGCCAATATTCGGAAATAAATTCATCAGTATCATCGGCCTCGTCACATCCACGTCAAATCTGCTTATTGGCTGCCACCTTCATTTTTAATAGACAATGTGATCATACATGCTCTACTCAAAACCATGCGAGAGAAACACGTCCGCTTCTCCTCCAAGAACACTTTCTACCCCCCTCGAACATCCTCACCGCTTTATATTCCACTCTTTCCTCGTCGGAACTCCTCACGAGACGGGATAAAGACTCCTCCTCCTCTTCCCACTCCCACTACTCCTCATACTCCGCCTGCCCATTGTCGGCCTCCCTTATCCCGCATCAGCTCTGCCCAACCCAAAGCACTCCCACACAAACTACTCGCATGCGAGATATCCCCTCTCCTTACTGTAGACCTTAACCGCCATCTTGGGGTCATAACAAGCGAGCTCCCCGGCGCTCCCACATCATGCTTGATCGAACCCGCCATTACACCTCCACAAACCTCTATTTCGCTCGTCATCCCAGACCTTCCCTGGATAATTCCCATATCCGCAACGTTCAACGGCGAGCACGTCGCCGTAACGGATGTGTTCGATTCGGTCTACGAGTTTCTTCGAGCAAGCGTGAAGGAGGAGGATTTCATTGGTTTGGAGACGCAGAAGAGAAAAGAACGCGCAGCTCAGGAGTATTTTCGGCGTTGTGCGAAGTTGCAGGGTCGGCGGGGGTATCGTGAGGAAAAAAGGCAGGGTGTTAAGAAGGTTGACTTTTTGTTGGGTCGTACGAAATTTGGTGGGCTGTCTCCAACCTCTATGCCCGATGTTTGGCGGCTTCTTACCTTCTAGCATTATTCATGGTGTTAAGTAGTTGCGCTGTGAGATCGGTTTCAATTGTAATATCATCGTGTTTTGTAATCGTCCGATTCGTCCTTGGCATCCGCCTTCAGGTTGAAAACCTTGAAAGATGAAACGGTTTCAAACGGAGTCTATATTCAGACTCACCATAATAAAAAGAAATTGGCAGAAAATCCGGGCTCGTTTCGATGCCACCAACTTCTTAGTACAAGAAGAGAGTGTATGTTCCCGCATTATATAGCAAACAGAACACGCCAGACTCCAGTTCAACAGTTGAGACACCTGTTCAAAAGTCTTCATGTCCGCAATTTTCACCACGTAATCAATCTTCCATGACTGAACCTCCATAGCCCTGAAATGTCCCAGATCGAACTGGAAAGGGCGGGGCCGTGTCTGGCCGCCTGGATGGCAACCAACTATTGGAATCGGGGAGAAGGCAACCGTGAGAATAAGCAGATGCCGAGAAAGCCGAACGCCGTGTGATGCCCGAAAATTGGTTGCCCAAAAACACGTCATCCAGCTTTTTTCCTTTCCCTTTCATCCACAACGCCCACCCCCACCGTGCCCCTCTAAATCCAGAGTCGCAAATTCAACCAACACGTGCCTCGTGTTCAACTTCCTCTCTTGCGCGTCCCCACCGCCTTTTTGTCGCATACTTAACACCATGCCCCGACAACTCGATATGCCCAGGCTGTCCATGCCTGAATGTACGCCTTTTATTGCATTCGTTCTGCCAATTTCCCAGCTTAGCCTGTAACTCCATCGCACCAGATACCCCGGAACTCGAGTACACCATGGACCTCGGCGCAGAATCCCGCGTCTCTACGCCTCGCCCCGACGACTCGCTTGCACTGGCAGCGCCGTCGCCAATACGCACGCGGAGCTGGCGGCCGGAGGGCGTCGAGCGCGACCAGCAGGCGCACTCGACTGCCTATGACTCGGACGGGAAGTTGAAGGTCGCGGCACGCGCACGCCGGGCAGCTGCGCGAGATTGTGGGATTTGGTGAGTTTTTTCTGGGTCGTGTGAGATGCATGCAATACTTTTTTTTCTAACCGAAAAATTGTCGGTTTGTGGGGATGTAGCGAAGAGGTAGCGATTGATCCTGTCAAGACGCAATGCTGCGATGCGTTGTTCTGTAGGCAGCATATCGAGGAGGTGCGTTCTCCTACTTCCTCATTTTTTTTACCGCCGTCTGTTCATTTCGTTCGCTATCATTATACAGTGGATCTACGCCCCCCGCGCCGACGGCCTCTGCCCCTCATGTACAGGCCCCTGCGTCCTCCCCCCGTCTCGCCCACACTCTCCCTCTCCCTCACACCATTCCCATTCCTCAGCAACCAAACCATCCTCCCCACCCACCCGCGACATCCTCACCGACTCCCTCCGCCGCGGCGCCAGCTCCAGTAGTACCACCACCCTCCGCCCTCTTCCCCGCCCTCGTACCCCGCCTTCCACCCCCTCGCACTCCGGCTCCCACACCCCCGTCTCCCCGCCTTCCCGTCCTGGCACACCCACATCGTCGTCGTCGTCGGCCGTGGCGTCATCGACGAAACCGAAACCGAAATACAGCCGTCCGGGCATGGACGCGCTAGTGCGGCTGTTAAGCGGGCTTGCGGCGTTGTTGTTGTTGCTCGGTGCGCTTAGCCGGCGTGGGGGAGGAGGAGGGGGGAATAGTGTCAGTGTTAGTGTGACGCCGGATTCGGGGAATGGAAGGGCAGCGGGAGCAGGAGCAGGAGCGGGGATGGAGGATCTCGGCGCCGCGGTTGGTCTTGGTATGGGGGTTGAGGCGAGTAATGTCGTTGCGGGGTGATTGAGTTGACGGTGGTGGTGGTGGTTAGGATAGGATGTGGTTCCACACCTTGGGCGAAGGTACTTTACTGACTACCGTTATTCTTACTTCCAATGGTTCAATAATTCGATCTTTACTTACTCTAGCTAGCGTCTCCGCTCATCTCGCATCTCTCGTTTAACACGGAATTCACGAAGTACCCATTTACAATACACAGCATGCTCTCGCTCAATTCATTCGAATCCAAATTTCTTCGTTTCAAGACTGAGCTTCTTCTCGAAGGTGGCGTCCAGAGGTGCAAACCCATTGGTTTCGCTTTCTCCCTCAATCCGTTGCCAAGCTATCGACCACAACGCACTTCTTTCTACCTCTAACATCTCCTCGCATCTCTCGCTGATTCTACGACGATCTTCACGGTTTACTCTCTTACATCTCCGGTCCTAGCATGGTCTCAGTCGAAGTTGAATGTTCAGGTCTGATCGTACGCTTATGGGTTGTACTCGTATTTCCCGAATGAATTTGACTCTGAATTCCTAGATGATATTCGATGAGGAAAAATGAGTGATACTATTTGCCCACTAATCCTTTTTATCGCGAGGAAACCTTTTGGGATCCAATCTCAGCCTGTCATCCGGAAGCTTGTAGCCCAGCAACGAAGCCAGCCATCCACCGAAACCCACAATGAGCTATGTCAGTCAAGGTATGTGAGTTGGCATTGCTATCGAGTATAAATTCGAATGATGCACTCACAGGAACCTCCAGCCATCGCAACCCAGTGGGTAGCTTTGGGTAGGTGTCTCCGTAGTAGAATATTTGCAGGATGCGGAGAGGAGAGGACATGATCCCGGGTACCGCCAGGTTGCGGAAGAAATACGTCTTTTGTTCGGTCTAAATCGTTCGTTCAATCATCAGTCGGCTCTCTAGATCTCCCCGACGACGGAGTGGAAGAAACAAAAGAAAAGAAGGATAGAACGGAACCACCTCAACTTACCATCTCATACGACATCTCCTCAAAAATCAGCTCCTCTCCTTCAAACGCCTCGAGACTGTGCACCACGCCTCTCTTCGTCACACACGGCCCATCTTCGGGAGTGAAGATCCTCTTGACCCCATCCTGCATGACAATGAGCCGGCCCTTGATGACGACGTGCTCCTCGTCGTGCGCGGCGTGCCAGTGCGGGGGGACGTATAGTTTCTTGGAGGTGGGGGTGCAGTGGACGCGGCTGCGCAAGCCCGAGGGACCGGGGGAGGAGAGGATGGTCATTGTGATGCCGCGTTGGAGGGACCAGGTGGAGTCGGTGAGGGGGTCGCCGGGGGTGGGAGGAGTGGTGGTGGACATGGAAGGTGTGTCAGTTGGAGTGGGGGGACTGGGACGAGGGTACCAGTAAGCGAGACGTAACGCGACGTCTTAAAGAGACATGCAGCCTCGCCGTGGCCGCGTATGGCGAACGGGATGACCCGTGGCAGCTGACACCGGCATACCGATCAGGTCAATTGCTCGTTGAGCAATGGGGTTTGATGATGTTTTCTTTTTCTCACTTCCATTTGCTCATTGCGTGTAATTTGCTGACATCTCAGCTTCATACCGGTAATTAGGCTCGCAATGTTCCGCACATCGAGTCGTAAGTTACTTGGACAAGGTGAGAGATCTAAGACTCAGATCTTAACCAAACCGAGACATTAGGCAAGGGCTCCGGGTTCAATTAGTTATGATTCGCCTCGGCCGTTCAACATCGATAGTATCCTCCCATACCCTCCAGTGACCAATTTGAGAATTTCTTTCATATCTGAATAGCGTTGACTCAGACACTCTGCCGAGGCGACGGTTGTTCAAGTTGTTCAGATTGAAATTGGCTCGCATGCACTCTGGATCCGCAATGCGCATCCGGTACGAAAAAGCTTCTTCGAGGGTCCTGAAATATAATTCACGCGCCGCCGGTCATATATTTCTTCTATGTACGGATTCGGAGAAAAGTTGAACACGATCAATCTAGGCCGATCATGACTCCCACATTTGGACTTCTCCTCACGGCTTCATAGCTCAGTTTGGGAGAGCAGCAGACTGAAGTTTTCCAGTCCATCTGAAGGTCCCGCGTTCGATCCGCGGTGAAGCCACTCCACTGCACAGTAGAGAGTTTCAACGGTTTGATGAACGATATCATTCGCTTCTTTGCTCCGTTCGATCAATTTTTGATGTCAAGTTTTGCCATCCTCCCTCTACGTCCTGTCGAGCATTCAATATTCAATGGGCACCACCCCTTGACACGTTGCATGTACATCCCTTTGAGCCAAGTGAAATGTTCGACGTTGAACCAGGTTGAACCTCGGGTTGACATTCTGTCAATATTCGGGCCAGCCCGGAATTAGCCAACTTCTTTTGACAGCGCCCAAGCTCTCATGCCCAATTTCGCCAGTTATTTATCCTCTGCCCTTAACGAGACGATTTTCATCAGACAAAGGTAGTGAATCTAACTAGATCTCATTTGCAACCGGTGAGAAGGAGAGTTTCAACTTGAAGTCAACTTGAAGTACAAAGTTAAGCGAGAATCGATTTTGGGAAGTGAGAGCCGCGCGGGTACTGGTATGATTTTCAGGTCCACACATGAGAAACTGGGATACATCGTGTTGTGTTACTCCACCCTCTCGTCTCCGGCAAACTTCAAGTTCTTCTCCTTCGACGCCTTTGAGCGTCAGTAGTATCAACTGCGGCAGACCGCGTTGCTCTCCGAGTCGTAGACTCAGGCTGTGGGCCGGTCTGGGTACGAGGAGAGACTTGTGCTTTCGCATTAGCTGTAAGTAATCAATTCAAGTTTACTTGTCGCTACTGAACTCGGATGAAATCAATTGTTCCCTTCCGATCATCAATTAGTCCTTCCCATTCAACTCGTCGGTAGTTTCATAGCAATTCACGCTCTACCTCAATAACCATGGAAATATTTATCTGTATAAAAGAGAGACTCATTTGTCTCTATCTGGTTCCCGGAAGACCGTGCCCCCTCTGATCCTAAGCTATGGGCTCTGGTGGAACTCGGATGATAATTTCGATTACGCCGGCAATCGGGTATCTCCGCTGCCGCGAAGCATTTGGTGGACGGATCAGTGTTCGGAACCGTTATCAGACCAACCGACACTGACTAAATTCTGCGTGATCCGGCTGCACAATGTTCATAAGTACGAGAAAAAAAATCGCATTTCTTATTATCTCCCATCTCACACTAGCACTTTCACTATTGATTCCTCTTGATCCAAGTCTTTCAACATCATGGACGCAATCGCGCAAATGCAGGAAACTGACATCATGAAGGTTGTCTTCCCGAGTGAACAGCTTGTATCACACTGGTTGCACGGAAACTAATGATCCATAGCAATTTCGACGTTGATTCCGCTACTTGCTCCGAAAAGGCCAGCGATTCTGGACGCTCGAAAGACCTTCAAATATGGCGCAACAGAGCGGCATCAGGCGCGTAATTTGGTTCGCGATCATTTGTTGGTTGGAATTCTGACTTTCGCTTCATATTGCTCAGCTCGACGTATACTATCCTCCCTCCTCCACTACAACCGATAGTTCTCCTATCTTATTCTATGTCTACGGTGGCGGATTTGCCTCAGGTGGGCGCACCCTTCCTGCCCCAGCAGATCTCGCATACGGAAACGTTGGATTGTACTTCGCATCAAGGGGGTTTATCACCGTTATTCCGGACTACCGTTTGGCCCCGGAAACTACATACCCAGGACCTGCTGAAGATCTTCGAGATGCCCTGAAATGGGCGGTGGATCACCCAGACGAGCTTGGCCCGAACGCCGACCTTTCAACTGTATTCTTCTTGGGACATTCCGCCGGAGGGACGCATACCGCTACGATGTTTCTTGAGACCTCCATTCTTGCCGGTGCTCCGGAGCTCGCTCGAAGAATCAAGGGTGTTGCCATTGCTTCTGCTCCGTTTCATTTTGAAGGAGAGTCTGAGGGCGGAGGGGCGGATGTGCGCGAGAAGGCGGACATATATTATGGCTCTGCCTCAGCGACGCAGCTACACAATCCTCTCGTCCTGCTTCGCCGGATGAATGAAACTTCGATGAAGCTTCTTCCTCGACTGGTACTGATTACATGCGAAAACGATCCCGAGTGGTTCAAGACTGTGTTGCGCGATTTCCACCAGGAATTGGCAAAGAGGGAGGTGAACGCGAAACTTATAACTGCGAAGGTGCATAATCATATCAGCTTTTCCATGGCGCTGGGAACGGGGCAAGGCGAGGAATGGGCAGAGGAGCTGGTAGACTGGGCTCGAACTACGGCGTAAATTAGTTCGGTACGATTACATATTGTTGAACCGGAGCCGCTAAGGCTATACTCGGGCAACTCGGACATCCCTGTATGTTCTCAATAATTCTACTATGTTCTCTTCGACTCGTTCTGATTATTTACGACTCAGTTAGATACTGACTCAGAATGTAATATGACTCGTATTCTACGTATTTATACAGCGCTGTAAACCCTATGCACTCAATCAATTTATCGTGAACCCAACTACTTTTGTGTCTCAGAGAACCATCTGCCGGTTCTCACCAACCATCAACTCGTCTAACCTCAACAGGTTATGGGCCCACGCCCTTAAATCTTTGAGACAGCTGAACTTGAACTACTATCAACCTACCGGAAGAACTGCCGTCTATTACCACATCGAATAAACTATGTCGACTACCAACTCAACCTCTCAAGCTTCGTCGAGCATGTATCGGATTGAGCCACTCCAGGAAGCCAACTGGCTAGGCTGGAAGCGCCGTGTCACCTCAATTTTGAGGGATAGAGGACTGCTGAAGTATGTCTCGGGAACTCTTGCCCGACCGACACCGGCAAACCCGAATCAACCGACCGCCGATGAGCTTAAATCTATTGAAGAATGGGACGACAACGACGCTCGCGCACAGACTCAACTTGAACTGACGATAAGCGACTCTCAGATGATTCATATTTCTGGAGCTACGACTTCTGCGCAAATGTGGAAACAACTTGTCACTGTCAAGGAATCTCGCGGACGATTAGGAATTTTATCTATGCGCCGCCGTCTCTATCGGACTCATGCTGATGAATCTACCGATATCTTGGCCCACATTACGGAGCTCAGGGAAATCCAAGAGCAGCTTCACCTTATGGGTAGCTATGTATCTGATGACGATTTCACCTTTATCCTCCTTACCTCTCTTCCTGAGAACTGGGACCAATTTACTACGGCTTATCTAGGCGCCAACTTCAGTGCTACTCAGGCTATAACCAGCTCTACTACTGGTACTACTACTACACAGGCACAAACTTCACTTGTATCCACTCTGCCGATCACATCTTACGAACTTATTGCTATTATTCTCGAGGAATACCGCCGCCGCTTGGAAAAATCAGGCGCAGACTCATCTCTAGTCTCGAGGGGATCGAATTCGAGTTCGAACCGATACCCCAAGTCTGGTAATAAACCTACAGGTTGCAATTGTCCTTCAGATAGTACATGTTCAAATTGTGGTCGAAAATATCATTGCAAACATAAATGTTTCGCTAAAGGTGGTGACCGTGAAGGCCAAGGACCGAGCCGAACCTCGGGGAAATCGAAATTCAAACGCAAGGAGAGAGCTAACCAGGCTAATACCAATGTGAATACGAATGCGGATTTGAATGACGGAGCATATTCTTGCCGAGTCAATGAGGATGTTGACACATGCCTCACCGCCAACTCGTTTAAACCAACAGATTGGATTGCTGACTCTGGAACTTCTTCTCATATTTGCAATTCAAAGGATTTATTCGTCGATTTTACCCCACTCACAAACCATATAATAACTGGCCTTGGTGAGCATAAAGTTCAGGCTATCGGGAAAGGCACAGTTAAATTGGACTTTAAAGTCGACGGGAATTATGTGACGAATACTCTTAAGGATGTATTGTACACACCCGAAGCAGCCAATAGCCTTCTTTCCATAAGCAAACTCGATGACGCCGGAGGCGAAGCTATATTCCGCCGTGGATGGTGTACATTGGTTGGGCCGAAGGGAAATAAATTAGCCACAGCCAAGAAGATAGGTAAACTCTACCTTTTGGATGTCAAACCTCGCAATGAGGATCATTCTAATATCTCGAAAGAGTCAATCGAGACATGGGATTCACTTCACCGGAAATACGGACACCTGTCGATCTCGTCATTGGAGAAACTTATCAAAGGTAAACTGATTAATGGACTTACTGTTTCACCAGATAGTCCGCCTTTCACCCAATGCGAAGCTTGCATTCAAGCTAAACAACATCGTCGACCTTACCCCCAGGAATCTGACAACAAGACGACAGAAACCGGTGAACTCACTCATTCCGACGTTTGGGGACCTGCTCGTGTTGCATCCATTCCCTCGCATCTTGCAGTTTCGAATGCGAAATATTATATCTCTTTCACGGATGATTTCTCCCGTCGATGCACTGTCTATTTTATGAAGCACAAGTCTGAGGCAACTCAATGTGTCAAAGACTATATTGCTTACCTCGAACGGAATAATAAACCTTCGAAATTTATTCGCGTCGATAACGGGGGAGAATATATCAACCATGAACTCATCAAATGGTGCAGAGAGAAGGGAATTGACCTACAGACAACTGCCCCATATTCACCCTCTCAGAATGGCATTGCAGAACGATTCAACCGAACTCTTATGGAACTCACCCGCGCCATGCTTATTGCCCGGAATTTACCTTCATTTCTATGGGCAGAAGCTGTAATTCATGCTGCATATCTTCGAAACCGTTCACCCACCAGAGCTTTGAAGGGAAAGACTCCGCAGGAAATCTGGACGGGGACTAAACCAGATATGTCACATTTGCGGGAATTTGGTTCAGATGTTTGGATACTCACCGAATCGGAGAAACCAGGCAAGACAGTTGCCAAATCGAAGAAGTATACCTTCGTTGGATATGCTGAGGGAGCTAAAGCAGTCAAATATTGGGATAAATCAAACAGGCAAGTCAAAGTCTCACGAAATTTTGAATTTTCGGACGTCGAACCGAAACACGTTGAAGTGGAAATAACCACGAGACTGCCGCTTGAGGGGGAGCCCAGGAATACCAATCAGCAGCCTCCTGCAAC